CAGTTGTGACTGCCTGTATAGCCCTCAGTCCTATCTCTTTGTTGGACCCGTTGTTACCTCGGCCTCGCTTCGGCGAGCCGTTACCTTTCTCTTGCTTTGTCTCTTTAGTTCCTGACGTATCTTCCTCGGCTCTAGCATACTTCTCGATTCTGGCCATGAGCTCTTCCATGCTTTTTGGCAACGTCTTTGCTAAAGACTTTCATAGTGGACAATCGTCTTTTAGGCCGTTCTTGAAAGATACGACCGCCACCTCTTGGTTGCACTCGGGTATTCGGTTGAACACCTCGTAGTACCTTTTTGCATAGGCCCTAAGGCCTTCATCCTTACTGATTCTCAGAGCCATCAATGTGTCCACCCTTAATGGCTGTAGCTTATTTGTTACGAACCTGGCCACAAACATCTCGGCCAGGCCTTCCCAGGTTTTCACACTTCCCTTTGGCAGTTTGTGAAACGAATCCGATGCAATCTCCCTGAAGGATGAGGGGAACATTTTGCAGAGCAATGGCTCGTTCCCACTGTACAATGCCATCGAGTTCAGGTATAATCCAACGTGGAAATTGGGGTCCGACTTACCGTCGTATATTTGGAACCTCGGCATACTGAATCTCTTTGAAGCCTCAAATTTGTCTAATTCCACCGAGAATGGTGTTCTCGGCTTAACAGGTGAAGTTACCTCGGCATCGGTATTATGTTGTTTCTTCTTGAGGTAATCTCTCAAGTCTTCTTGCTCCGCCCAGGAGCTCGGCTATCTCCCGACTTCAGTCTTTTCGGCATACTACTCTCAGCTTCATTGTGGGCCTTTTTCGACCTTTCTCCATGAGTTGTGTCAAAGCACAGCTCCTGCTTTTGAACATGCCGATCTTCTCTGGGGTCTGCTTCTTTAGTGCGATGTATCCTTCGTGACTCTTCTCTCCTCGACTCTCCTCTCGCCGACCTCCCTGGAAGGCCGGTGAGAGTGTTTTTCGCTTCTGGTGTGCTGAGGGGCTATTGGGATTGGTTTCTGCCCTCTCTTCTGGGCATTGGCCGCTAGAATCGGCGTGTCCTGCAGTAGGAATGGTGGCTGCATGACGTTATTTTGCATCATAAAATTGACGACCGATTGCAGGTCTGCCAACTTGTTTGCCATCTTTTTCACCTTTTCGTCCCTCCCCAAACATCTATCATTCCATACCTAGAGGTCGTTCTCGTTGTAGTATCCGCTTCGATCTGGTTTCTTTGGCACGTCGCCATCCTGGCCGACGTCTTTCTTGCCGTGATTCTGGTTCTGAGTCTCCTCATTGCGACCATCTTCCTCCACGTTTGGGTCAACGTGTTTACCATTCCCAGCAGGGATTTCGTCCCCAACCTTATCCTTCTGTCCGTCACTGGCCATCTATTCTCTTTTCTTTCCCACAAACAGCGCCAAATTGTGTGGGTGAATTTCTGACCACACTGCCAAACTCAGTATTCAACTGGAGAGCACTGGCAGAATAGATGGCACCTGACTGACCTGCAACAGAAAGAGAAGATTCCGGCGGTGGTTCGTCCACCCGAAGGCACTCCGACGATCAAGTCAGTATATCTCAAAGATAATCAATAGTGTTAATCTCACTGTTCAGAATATAAATTGCGTACCTTAGACCCATCGGGGGTGCCTTTCTTTTATAGTTAATTCAATCCTAATCCCCATAGAAGCCTAGCTTCAATGGATTTCTGCTCAGTGCTTATCCTGGACTCTCCAAGAGATAAAGATAAACTCTCTAAGAGTGTTATCCTTATCCATGCTGAAATCCTTCCTCATTCTAGGACTCTTGTGCCTTATCTGCTTATCCCGGATTCCGATATCTTCAGAGATAACCTCGGCGTCATGACCAGGACACGTGACACCTCGGCTGACACTTCGGTGCCTCTTCGGCCATGTGTTGATACTCAAAAAATATATCCCCACAAAAGGCATAAAATTATTTGTGTTGTGGAAATTATTTATCCAAAGAATAGCTGTAGATGACATTTAAGAGATGAGAGTGATACAGTGGATATGCACATCCTTGCAATTGATACCCAATTTGTTTGATACTATTGCAAACATATAATTACCACAATTTGATTACCCCATGGTTGTTGTTGTTGTTGTTGTTGTTGTTGTTGTTGTTTTTTTTTTTTTTTTTTTTTTTTTTTTTTTTTTTTTTTTTTTTTTTTTTATCCTTTTGAGATTGTGTTCCGTTGATTAGACATGATCCTTTTATGTGATTGAGCTTTGTTAAAACATTTTATCCAACTTTGTGTGTTTTTTTGTAATTTTATTTCTATTGAAGTTTGATGGAAGTTTTGTTGATTGGTTCTTAAATTTGGTTTCATCATTGTTTAATGGGTTTGTTGATTTGAGTTATATGGTGACAATATCTTATCAATTAATTTAGGATAAATTATAAATATATTTTTTTATATTTACTTGAAAAACAAATTAGCCTGTAATCATAAAAATTACTAACAGTATTGATAGATTATCTTATGCTTGAACTTTTATTACTCAACATGAGTATAGGAAAATATCTTTATTTATATATATTTTGTATGCTATTTTTCACTAGGTTTGGGTATTGATGTGCAACTATGCGCAACAACCACCGTTGGCTAACTTTTTGGATCTATTTCGAGGCCTATTTAAATGATTTGAATCATTCACTTTTAAGAACAAGTCAAATAGAATATGGGTGTTGTTATGGTGTGCAACCGCTTAAGGTTGCACACTATGTGCAACCAACACAAAAGGTGTAAGTGAAAGGTGTAAACATAAAACAGGACAGCAAACAGAAAGACGTAAGTGTAAGGTGTAAGTTGCACACTTAAGAAAAGTCCATAGAATATACTTGTAAAAAAATTAAGTTGATAGAATATCAGCAACCCCTTCATCAAGTCACATTTATATTTAGATTTATACTTCAAATTACATTTATTATTAATTTTTTATAAATACAAATGTGTTTTGATGAAAAGACTACCGATATCTGATCAACTAGTTTTTTGCAAGTATGTTTCATATAATGTACTTTAAAAAAATGAATAATTCAAATCATCGAAATAAATTTTAAAATAAGTTCAGAAGGTTGCCAAATCCATTTTTCACCTTTTATGTCCGTTGATATTGATCTTGTAGTTTATATTTCCTTTGCAAAATTTTTGTTAGAATATATATATTTGCCTTTTATGTTAGAATCATACGTCCACCCCTAGTCAAAACTTTAAAATTTGCTAAATCTTCCTCAAATCTTAGGAAGGTCAATCCAATTCACCTTTATATGTTCATATTTATTTTAGGAAAATATCTTGTAACTCAAATTTTGTAGCTCAAAAGTGACTCAAATGGCCAAAACGACGTCGTTTTGGCCATTTTTATGTTGTTCTGTACTCAAAACGACGTCGTTTTGACCATTTGAGCCACTTTTGAGCCACAAAATTTGAGCTATGTAGCATTGTCGTTTATTTTATTAAATAAAGCGTAGATCCAATTATTTCTGTGCTTTTTAATTTTTTCTTTCAAAAATGCCATTTTCACATTTGTTAATTGTCACATCAATAAATGTACTTTTAACATGAGTGTTATTATTAGTATCCCATTAATTATTTTAGACCCTCATTTCTTTAAACCTCTATTTATAAATTTTAAACCCTTAAAATTTCTTTTCTCCCCCTAAATAATACCAAAAGTATTCTTGTAAAAACATTCCACTCATTCAATTGAGACCTTGCTTGGAAACAAATTATTTTAGTAACTTTTTGACTTTTTACGAAAAGATATGCAAAGAAGTAAAGAGAGTGATGCGACAATTTATAATTACTTTTTAACTAAAATGCATAGTTGACAAACGAGACCTGAATGCACTCCCATACCCCAAAAAATCTCTCCCCAAAATCCTAACAAAACCCACGATAGTGATTGCTACTCTATCTCCACATACTTGTTCATGACTTGAGAAAATAAATATAGGGTTTTTTTTGCAATTAATTCAAAATTTCCCTTTTGTGAGTTCTGCAATCTCCACGAGTTTCAGTTATCTGATCCCGAACAAATAAGAAATGTTTGGTTACCTGTTCCAGAACAAATGAACAATGTTCGAACTTGTGTTCCCGAATTTCGATCATATGTTCGAGAGCTTAGTCCCGAAAAAATGACGAATAATTTTTATTATTTTTGTCATTTTTTTTCCAATAAACTTACCCTTAGGCTATAAACACTATCATAGCTATAAAACCTCTCTGAGCTTATTATTGTACTCCTCTCGTCTCATGGAGTTGTAATTACCGAAAAAACTTTCACTCATTATTATTGATGAAGAAGTGTAGGTAATCAAATGGTTGTCACCCTTACTATCGAAATATTGTCACCGAAGGATTTTCAAAATTTTGAGGGTAGATAAGTTTTGAAGGTGGAATTTGAAAAACATAGATGGTTGAGGATGAAAGGAGTGCTTTCATACATCCTAACTTATGGTGTACTGAGTGTGTGATCTTAATTGTGAAATAGAGTATCATAAAATTATTGATGTCTTTTTTGATAATTTCATTTGAGATTATTATTGTAATAAATAAAAAAACTAAAAAATTAAAGGTCCAAAATAATTAATAAGGAATTTATAGCAACACTCTTTAACATTCACCAAATTATCCAAAATTACAAAACAAATTTTGCACCATCATTAAATTGTCCATCAATTTTCAAACGATTTAAAATTTTAAGAAAATAATATACAAACAAAATTTATACACATACACCAATACAAAACGATGCGGCAATAGCTTCTGCAATTTTAAGCCACAATAATGATAGATGTTTTTCTTTAACTAATTCAATATAAAATTTTAGTTTGAAAATTTTGTTTGTCACATTACTGAAAATCTAAAACGTACGTAAAATTGCAAAGCCAGAGGGGGAAAAAATATAAATAATTTCTCAAATCCTATAGCTTCAAAACTCAAGTAGCCTTTTAAATGGCACATTGGTTCCACAGAGACGTTACAAATAAACAAATAAATAGACGTTGAAGTAAAGGAAGCAATTTCCCAGTAATCAAATTCGATGAATTTTCGTTCAATTCCATAAAACACCAATATATGAATGTCCAAACAAGGCAAATTGCAAACGAGCCACTGTAAAGAGCAAGACTTCAAGCAAGGCATCAGATAGTAGCAAGGAAGAGATAAAGAATCAAATACAGAATTCTCTGGTCAAAAATAGCTCCAAGTGATCATATATTTCGGGTCAACAAAATCTTCATTGTCATGCTGGAACTAGGGTAAGAAGACTGGCTTACAAGCTACAATACACGAGAGATGCCCATGCTAGCTGAAAGGATATCAACAACTTATTGCAAGTAGACAATGTCACAATGCGTCGTACAAAAACTTTGTTCAAATAAAGATATTCCAACCATCGATCAACGCTTGACCCACTGGAAGCTCTTTCTGGCTTTGGCTTTACCAGGTTTTTTCCTTTCTACAACTCTTGGATCCCTCGTCAGGAAACCAACTGGTGGCAAGACACAGTAAAATCATTAGTGAGTACTAATGCATACTAATGTAATACATAATTGATATTCTTTTCACATATGATGAGAGGGTAAAGTAGATCAAGATTCTGAAGTACAAGAGGCTAAAACATATGAAACAAATAACATATGATCTACTGGTTTATGCAATTATTCATGCATGGACACAGAGCCAAGTGTTTGCTACACAGTTCATACAAAAACTATAATCTCATTTGAAGGAATCTTGGAAGATGTGCAGGTCATTGTGAGTATCTTAAGCATGAATATGGGAAAAAAATGAATAGAAAACTATGCTTGCATAGGTTGTACCCGCTCTGAGAGGTGTGCGCAGATCAGGTTCCCAGTTTTGCAAGGCTTTGCTGATCCCCAATTGAATTGCCCCCACTTGACCTGTTCCATGCAGATTCAATTTTACAAATTAAGGAATAATAAGAACACACCAACAGATAAGCCAGAAGTTTGAGCAATAAACAGAAGTGAAGTGACAAATTTGCCACATGCATTGAGTAACATTATAACATGTCCTGAAGTAATTATAATTGTAATTACACAATTAGTACAACCAATCCCAGCCCTATGGGCTCCATCAACATGAGCTTCCATACCAAATTTGATTTGTCAATCAGAATATGAACCTCAACTCACTGATAACAAAATCTCTACAGATCTCAAGGCAGCAAAAATTGATTGCATTCACATAACCAAAGACCAGCTTTCATGAATACTAGAATAGAGCTACAGTGAGAACACAATGGAAAACTTCAGGTAAGCAAGAGTAGGAGCCAGTCTAAATGACTCAACTAAATTCTGCTTATGCGTACATTGCAAGGGCAAAACCATATGTCATGTATTTGTACAAATTTCCTATCAAGGGTGAATCCAATTTAATTTTAATTCACTTGACGAGGATAAATCATTAGGTTGAACCTTCAACTCCAGTATAGATCTCTCAAGTCTCAACCATCAACACACACACACACACACAAAAACCTATATTTAGATAATTCATCAACATGCTTAGGATGTACATATACAAGTCCAAAAAAGCATAAAATAAGAGCAAAGGTGTCCTTATCTCCTGCTTAGAACACCACCAGTCAAACACAAACCAGATAATAATACAGACCTGAACTAAAAGATTAAGGACATTAAAAGATGGGATATTTGCAAAATTTGCTACAAGGATGTTGAAAACACAGTTTGCACTAGGAATAATAAGCTGAGGGAGACTCAAAAACTTTATTTATCTTTGCAAGTATTATCACTGATTCATCTTATTGAAAACAAATGTAATGATATTTTTAAGGATATATTCATAGAAACCAATAGAAGATTATAGAAAGACAATTTATACTATTATGTAATTCAATCAATATGAAGTTTAATGATTGTAACAGAAACAAAAATACCAAATAATTAGCCCCCTGGTTTCAAACACAAGATTAAGGAACCCAGGAGATATAATTAAGAGTCGAAGATACAAAATACTAAAAGAGATATAATCAAGATGATTAGACCACAGAGAAATTCAGGATTCAGAGTCATCTGGTGTAGAGGGACATTTGAAAAAAAAAAATTGTTCATTGAAGATATTAAAATTTCAGCAGCTATTCAGTTCTCAAAGTCAAAAATGGAATTCAAAAAACTTAAAAAAGATATTTCCACGACAACCCATAATATATTAAAGGAGAAATTACAACATAATGGGAAGTAGGGAATTTATTTACCAGAAGGTGGAGAGTGCAACTTTTGTGGTTTTATTGCATAGAAAAAGTTGCAACCCCCATGTCTTTGTAATTATTTTTGGTCTTCTACACTGAATTGTAATTTCACCTAGGTTAAATTACAAATTTATCCTCATTATAATTGAACTAATTCTGAAGAATTGTAGATTTTTTGCCAACTTCAAAAAGATTAGTAGAAACAAGATAACAATAAAATCAAATCATTAGAAACAAAGAAGAAATTCATTCAAAAGGTTCAGAGATGTAAAAGATTGGCGATATTGCTTCTCCAGCATGAGAAAAAGGGGATGAGAGAGAATAAGTGTTGAGAATCTAATTCAAACATGTCCAGATTTATTTTAGTGAGTCCATTTCATGTTTGAGTCCAAGTTAGTGGCCTTTGACTTATTCAAAGTAGTGGTATGTAGTTTCAGATTATGTAGGGATTGTATCAAGTGGTGTCATAGTTTTTTGGATAGTTGGATTAGTGGATAGTGTTTGTTATTGTTCATGGGTCTGCTGCCATCTTTCAGGTAGTGGAGTTAGGGGATAGTTCTCTATTTAAAGAGCATCGTAGAGTCCAAGTTTGCGTGAAAAAGAATTAAAAAATTCAGTGTTTTCTTCTTCAATCTCTGTATCTAGCATATATTACTTTTGTTTAAGAAAACTACAATGTGGTATCAGAGCCTGGTTGAGGGCTGGAAGAAAGCAGCAAGAGTTTACAACAATGACATTGACTGCAAGGTGTTCGTAGAAAAGTGCAAGTGAGTATTTTGGAGCTCATGGCATACAAATACAACTTCAAATTCTCTACAAAGTGTTCCCATATTTAATGGAAACAATTATCAATTCTGGTCTATTAAATGAAGACATTATTTGCATCCTATGATTTGTGGGACTTGGTAAAGAATGGGTATGAGATTTTGCTGAACAGGAAAAGGTGTCAGCAGCACAGAGAAATGAATTGAAGGAGAAACAGAAGAAGGATGCAAAAGCCTTGTTTATGATCCAGCAAAGCTTGGAGGACACCATATTTCCAAAAATCATGGCTGCCACTACATCAAAAGAAGCATGGGACTTGCTCCAAGAAGAATACCAAGGTATGTTGAAGATAATCACAGTTAAGCTCCAAACTCTTCATCGTGAATTTGAGAATTTGTATATGAATTTTTTAGAGTATTCAGGATTTTTGCACAAGATTCACTTCTATTGTGAATCAAATTCGATCATATGGGCGAGAGTTGTCCAATCAGAAAATTGTTGAAAAGGTGATAAGGAGTCTTACTCTTAAATATGATCACATAGTTGTTGTTGCTATAGAAGAATCCAAGGATCTAACCACTTATTCTGTGAATGAACTGAAGGGTTCACTTCAAGCACATGAACAAAGGCTGAAGACGACAGCAGAGAAGACAATGGAGCAAGCATTTCAGTCAAAGTTGGATTTAAAGAAGTGTTCAGAAGATCTTGGAAGAGGACACAGTGGTAAAGGCAGGGGACATGGCAATGCATCTCGTGGAAGAGGAAGAGGTAGATTTAATGCCCAACAGAGATACTTTATTAGAGGTAATAATGCTTACTCTATTCCATGTTCACATTGTGGAAAAACAAATCATGAAGACAAGGATTGTTGGTGTGACAACCGAGTTGTGCATAACATTCATGCATCCATTCATGTTAGGAAATTATCTTATTTCATTTGCATTATACATGTGATATGTTCGTTAGGGAGAAATTTAGAATTTATTGAGTATGAGTAGGAAATCTAAGCAGTTTTGATATGGAACCTTGAGATAGGAAACTTGGCAGGAATTGAAAAGTTAGGGAAATTATTTGAAATGGAGAATTGAATGCCTAGATGATTTAGAAAACGTGAGGAGCTTAATGATCTTAGTCTAATGAATAGAGCCTAGTGAGTACTAAATTAGAAACTAAGCGGGATTACTAAAAGTTAAGTGGGATAAACTAAAGCCAAGTAGGATTAATTACACTAATTGAGATTAAGATTTAAATATGGTTAATTAGAACTAAGCTTGGTTAATTAGGGTAATGATGAACTAACCTAACCAATTTCCTACAAAAGAAAGAAACTTGGAGAATGATGGAGAAACTTCGTTCATGAGGAGGACGAGAAGAGAAGAAAAGAGAAAAGAAGGAGAAAAAGAAAGAAAATTCAAGGAAGCTTGAATTCAAACCTAGAATTCCAAGAAAAATCATCAATAAGTATGAAACTCAACCCTCTACCTAATATTGTTGCTTTAACCTAGCTAGAAATTCATTTGAATCAAGATTTGGAAAAATTTAAATGCAGGGGAAAAAAAAGAAGAAAGATTGAAAACTAGAAAGGGTTGAAAGACTGGCATCAAAAACATGTTTTGAAATGTTTTTATCTTGAATTCATAGCATACAAGTGTTTATCTCTAATATACCCATCGTCTATTCTTGTCTAGGAACCTCAACATGTTTTGAAAAGATTTGAATGAAGAAACATAAGGAAGATGAAAAAGAAACAAAGTTAAAGAATTATTGGATTTAACATTGTGTCTAGTTAGTTTAATCTTGAAATCTTTGCAAATGAAAGAATTTCCATGAACATATTTACATGTTTTGGGATGTTATATATGTCATGTTTTGGGGTTTGGAAGTGAAGAAAACTAAATTAGGAAGCACAAGAGCACCAAGAACAGCAAGAACCCGACCTGCCCAAGTTTTCCCGCAAGTGTGGCCAGACCTCCGCATATGCGGAAGTGAACCCCGCAAGTGCGGCCAATTTTTTCCCAGACACCATTTTGCTGCTGTTTTAATTGCACATGCGGCCCGCAAGTGCAACTCATGGTCCCGCACGAACGGCCCAGAGCCCTGCACATTTCGATTCTTTTGACCTTCAGACACCCTTGTGCATGTTTTGAACCTAAATTACAGTTAAACACAACTAGAAACTAACTTGAATTCAGTAATTAGAAAAGAAAAGCTAAGTTAGGATCATTTGATTGTTTTACTTTTGCTTCATCAATACTTGTATTCGTGTTATGTAGGTCGAAACCATAAAGGAGTAACTCTGAGCACGAGCCATTGTGAGTAATACTACTGTAAAGTTATGTTAAAACTAGTTCTGAAAACATTGATGATATGATATGCTTTTGTGAAATCCTTATTTTGTTTCTGAATGAATGAATATCCTGTATTTTGTTAAATCTAGCAGTGGCATCCTTACATAGTCCCAAGCCATCCGGGGATAGTATTATGGACCAGTATTATGGACCGTGGCCTTTATGACATCTCATCAGCCACTTGAAGGTGAGGCGTTGTCTAACCAGTACGCAGACCGGTTATTCAATTAAAAGGCTCTAATGGATTACCATGTATCATGCTTTGATTATGAGTTATTCTTACGAAATGTTTGAACGATTGTAAATGCAATATGAAATGACCCTTGCAAATGAGTTTGTGATTCATTCATTTACCACTTTACTTTGATATTATTCACTGGGCTATAACTCACCCCTTCATATATATATATATATATATGTAGGTGATCAGAATGAGGAGTATCAATAGAGGTCATGGACTTAAGGAACCTGTCTTGGATGTCTTTTCTTTTGTTTTCTTTTTTTGATACTTTTGTCTTTTTGAAAAGCAAGTTTTGACGAGTTGTGTCATAGTTAA